CCCTAGTTATCCAAACCCGTTCCTCTTTGTGGTACCTCCAGTCCCGGTTAAAGCTGGAGAGTGAAGAACACATTAATAAGAAGTATTACGATAAACAAACAAACAAATAAACAAAACACCGCCACCTGGTGGCTAATCAGGGACCAAGAAAGATTCATTTCAAGACCCTTAAAAGCCTCAAGGAGTTTCACTCACACTTCCAGCTGTTTCTACAAAAACTAAAAATGATTATGTTCATAGAAAAGAAGAAAAATTATTCCGTAAACAAACAATATTGTACCTTGTTAAGTGTTAATCTAAGAGTACACAGCAGAATCGATCACTTTTTTAAAGCTTTACAAGTGTTATTTCCAAAAGTTTGTTTATAAGAGATGTACTTGTGTAGTTCGACTTTGTATAGGATAAAGGTCTAATCATCTCTTAGTTTACTCAGATTGCACAGAGTGTACATTTGTTAATAATTTGAATCATTTTGGATAAGGATAAGTGTAAGATTTCAGTTTTTACTTTATAATTTGTTTAGCGTAAGATTTACAGTTAAATTGTATTTTTTCTTGCCTTATTTAATTTTTACGTACTGTTCCTTTAACACACAGTAACTGTGCACGGGGGGAGCGTTCGCGACGGGCAGTGTGGAGCAACGGGGGCTTTAACTAGCTTACCGTGTTTGCAGTGTACATGAACATTCAAACGGATCACTGTATTTCAAACTGTGGAAATAAATGTTTGCCTGTTTGTTTTTCGACTACATGCGGACTTTGTGGATTATGTTCAACTGCACTAAGACACGCGTACAGCCACCAGCTAGTGCTTCCGCGGTATTAGACTTTAAAACCCTGACTTGGCCGTTTCGAGCACTGCCATGTAGTGTTTTTGAAATCTGGACACAACTGAGGGGCGGAAATAACAGAGAACTTGTTGTGTCATCTATTCAACTCCAAATGGGACAAAAAAAACAGAAACTGAGATAATAAACAGATTACATCAAGTGATGAGTATGGTTCATTTTTCCCCCCCATGGACTTCTATACAAGAAGAAGTCATTAAGAATGAATGCAGATTTGAAAACACTTCTGCATACCCTTTACTTTTTAGACCAGCAAGCTATGTTCATCGTTAATAAGTAGTCTAGGCTTTTTCTTAACGTGAGCTGCTTCAAGACTCCTGGCTTCCGCTCTCAGCTGTGTCTTCTGTGGCCTTTGGACTGAACGGGCCTTAGAAGGCCTACTGAGCTGGGTTGTAGATGAATGTTGCTGAACTTGTGTGTCAGGAAAAAGTAAATTATATTTGCATCTGCTGAGAGAATCACTGTGGTTTAGAATTTAGATTCAGTTTTATGGCAGGTTTAAATTGCTTAATTTCCTCTTCACAAAACGGTCTCATCTGCTCGCCAGTGAAACGTTTTTAATACGAAGCAGCAACTGCAAAGACTGTCGACTTTACACGACTCCTTTAAACTTTTTTGCTAAGTAAGGTGATCATCTCCTGGACAGACAAACACCTTTGTGCCCGTTTCTAGCAAAAAGTCAGTACTCACAGCTCCACTGCTGCCAGAAGCTGTAGCAGATCTCCTCCATTCATGTAGTACAGGTAGAACAACAGGTCTTCACCGTATCGAGACAGTTTGATGGCAGCCAACTAGAGTC